TTGGTCAGTTCCTGTCATCGTTGCTCACGTGTGATGTCATAATAGGTTGCCAAGGAAGTTGCCAAACACTATGGAATAAGCTACTTCCCAAGCACCCTCATTTCCTTGAGCATGTTTTCTTAATTTTTAAGCAAGAACCATCATGGGAGACCTTTTTTCTTTGTTTTGGGAAGCTGATCAACCTCCCAAACCTTTAACTTTTTACCTTCCCGACCAGGAGAACGAATGCCAAAAAGATGACTCTTGTGGGACAATAGGGAGCTTCCTGCTTTGGTATTTTATCATCATCTTTGTCCTGATGTTTTTCTCTAGGACTTCTGCCTGGGTAGGCTATCCTTTGTTCATTGTAACGAATATGTTTGCCGTACGTCTACAAGGTGCTCTGGCGGCACAGTGGTTAAGCATGCCACGGCTAACCCACAGGTCAGTGGTAAGAGTCCCCGGCCGTGGAAGTCACATGCGGCAGTTCTAGTCTGTCCTGTTGGGTTGATAGGAGTCCGAATCGATTGGACATCAACAGGTTACTAGATACTAGGGATTTGCCATAAAATAAAGTCACTATACTTTGATGAAACTATCCTTTTTCAAAGTTCATTTTCCAGTTAAAATACTGCAATCTCATTGTAGAGAACTTAAGAAAAACTTGAAAAGGCACGTTCAGTGACGCCATTGAGCCTCAGAGATAACCACTGTCAATGTTTGGAGACCATTCTTCTAGGCCCTCTTTCTTTTTGTAATTTTTCCTTCCCTGCCATTTCTCTCTCTCTCTCTCTCTTACTTTCTTTGTACACAAATTGGTATTTAATATCCTGCTTTTTTCACCGTTCACATAGCACCCTTTTTTATGACTGTAATATGTCTTGTGGTTGCATCGTAAGTTTTAAGATGTCTGCCCGTTGCAGCTAGGCAGCGTGTCAGTTTGGCCATATACCGCACAATGCCAGAATCCACTTCCCCACTGCACAGCGGCCTCCACATTCCTCTGCAATCATCCGATCAAAGTCATCTTTATATTTCTAGGTGGCATGGTGTCGGATTGGAGGAGTTTTCAAAAAGAGGCAATGGACGCTGTAGGATGCAGAGTTAAACTCATGGTTTAGACCACCCACTAGCTGTGAGGGGCGGGGTGGATACCCTACCCGTAGGAAGGGGCTAGCCTGTTCTTTAGACCTGTCTTCCTCCAATATCATGGTGGGTATAACTGAGCTCTTCTAAACTGCCAACTTGGAATCCTGGCTGGCCATTAATCCTGGGCTGCTGCAAACCACCATCACTTAGCATTGCAGCCAGAATCCTGGCCTGGCAAGGGTCGGCTAGACTGAAGGCTCTCGACAGAGAGGGGGAGATTTGCAATGACAACGGCAGCGGGAGAAGCGAGGCTTCTGCCCCTCTTCCCCAAGAACGAGTTTCCGCCAAGGTCCTAAATGCGTCTCAAGGCACATACTTTGCCAAAGGCAGATTTTAGCACAGCAATAGCTTATGGGCAATGGAGCCTCCCTAGCTAAGTATATTGAATTTGTTTGACCTGGCAGGAACAGCTACTTTAGAAAATTAACCCAAAATTGAAATTGATCACAGGCAATTTCCTCACGAACCCACTTAGGAGGTCTCGGCTCTTCCTGGGCTTTCTTGCTCTCCTCAGCTCTTTGGAGTCACGATCCCTGAGCTGCAAGGACCACAGGAGACCCTGTGGGCCTGCTTCCTCTTTGTAGACAAGTAAGGTGGCCTTAGAGGGTCAGTGGAAAAAAGGAAGACCTTCAACAAGACAGATTGACACCATGGCTGCCACAAAGGGCTCAAACATAGCACTGATTGTGTGAAGGGTGCAGGCCCCGGAAGTATTTCGTTCTGTGGTCTAGAGCATCACTTCGAGCCAGATCGGACTCAAGGTGACCGAAAAGCGACACTGTTATCCCCCTTCCTGTAAATTGAGAAAGGCCGCAAGAAATTCCATGACTTGTTTAATGTCATATGACGGCTTTGTAGCAGATTGGAGAGTAGCCCCGCTCCCCTTCCTGTATGGTTTGTTTGCTTGGAAGCCTCGTTTGAAATGTTGAATTACATCTAGTCAGTGTGGATTAGAACCTTAATTATCTTAGAGGTTTCAGCTTTCGCTTTGTGTCCTGATGGCGGCTCCAATCAGCTGGACTGCTTCTTCTCAAGGGTCCCAGATTTGAAATCCGAGCCCCACGAGTGGGTTAGTCAAGGAGGATGGAATTTTCCCTTCACTTTGAACTTCATTTTCTCTGCTAAACTATGAGCCTTTATTTACAAATCCTGAAGTAATGACAACAATGTGATGGAAATGTGGTGGTAATTATCCTCTTGCACGAAGCGCACCAATTTCCTCTGAGTTTGCTACTTTCTAAGACACACTTGCCCCTTTGCATTCACAGACTTTAAACACCGCATGTTTAAGTGTTTATTTAGACTGCCGGTGCTGGTGTTTTTCCAGAGAATGCTAGCCCAGACCCCCGCCCCCC